GAGATTCAACCAGAGACTCTGTCCGACTGCGACTCAGTCAACACATTCTCCAGGAACGGTCTTACCAGGAATATACAAAAGACTATATGTAAATATTGTGTACACTTTCTTGTTTCAATACATTTTGTTCTAAGTACATTTTATGTTGCATTATTATTCCATGCATTAGTCAAATTTCAAAAGAAACCCAATCCCAAATTATTAGACAACGGATAAACCTCTACTCCTGTTCAAAACACTGGGGTAAATTAGATGAATGTTTATGTTTATATTTAGAGACGATCTGATTGGATATATATTGGTACATGTTCTGTTAGCGCGGGCATGCACACATACATTAGATTTCTCTTTCAGAGGAAAACAATTTATATGGGTTGACAAAAACATATTGTCAAAAACATATTGTCAAAAACCGAAAAGAAAAAACTTAACTCCTAACTGATTTGGTTTGCTGTAATATAACAACCAAGGAATTTGAAAAAACTATCGAAGTGTAAAAACCAAGAAATCGAAATAGAAAAAAATGTGAAAACTGAAAACAAGAATAGTAACAGTCATGGTAGGTGCGCTTGGAATGATATAAAAGGAACACAACAATACATTGAAAATCACAGCTTAAGAGAAATACACAAGATTGTTTTGATAAGTACAGCTCACACACTAAGAAGAGCTTTGTCCGTGTGACGTTAGTGATGTTATGGGAGTTAGAAAAATAAATCATGAAATATAGCCATAAAAAACACGCTTTTACCTGCCTTAAGTCTTCCTGCAGACTTGGTAAGGTAGTGTGAGCATAGCAGAAATCGAAATAATAATAATAATAATAAATAATCAAAATTATTTGCCCTAAAACTTGCTTATCGGAAAAGCGCCGAGTGTACAAGTTTACCCAGAATGCAACACTTACATTGGATTTCCATTTCAGACGAAAACAATCTATAAGTGTTGACCAAAAATAAAATCCGATATAGTTGCTGAAATGTAGTATGATTTTTAGGACTAAAATACTTTGGTTTCTGCTTAGCATAGATAGACTGTTTTTTGTCAGGACTCCCTAAACAATAAATGTTAACAACTATTTGCAAAGCATTTACATAATTTTGCATGTAAATCAATGTTCCACAAACTTTGTTGACAACAACACAGAACACATAATGTTTGGTCATGGCGCCCTCCAGGGCAGAAATATAAATTTAGTATTTCTTTATTTTCTTTTAGTCAATATATTTTAATAAATTAGAATTTAATAATCAATAAATGTCGATATTTCTTATGTCGATCGAAGAATATGAAAAGCACCACTTCATGTGAATTGATAACATGCGTGAAATAAGTCGCTAGTTGTCTAGAGCAGCAACGTCAAAGGTGAGGAAGAAGAGATACTGCGATTACGTCAGTTATTTTAAGCAAACCGGTTTTAAGACGTCATGAGTTTAAATAAACAGAATTTTAACACACACAGATAAAGACACGCACATAGACATATATATATATATATATATATATATATATTCAGGCAAACATTTTTATTCAAACAGGTTTGGTTAAATAATTTACACATACTATATATTTTTATTTTCGTTTTAATCCTTTCGAGTCCATGAATCAATTTCTTGGTAGACTAAAAAATTGATTAAGAAAAATACCAAAATTTTCTTTCAAATAATTTTTCTTTTCCCAAGTATTTTCAGTCTCATCTGAGACCATCTCCAGGGGTTTCAAATTTCTCTGTACACGTTCTCATTTTAGTCAAATACAAAAATAAAAAACATGAATTACAAAGAATCTTTTAAAAAGCAACTCAGTACTTAAGTTCACGTATGAACTTAACAAGGACCAAAAAATCACGTTTCTTGATGCACTGATAGACAATAATAATAATAATAATAATAATAATAAAATAATAATAATGATAATAATATATTTACTACCCCCTCCATATAAAAAAAAACAACTAACATAAACACATACACTATTAACTATAAAAGTAAATGTCCTAATTATTACAAAGTAGCTATTATAGGTAACTTAATAAACGGTGCAAAGTCAAATTCTTCAACAGAAAAGATTTTCTATACTGAATTAAAAAAATATTAAACAAAACCTCGCTAATAATGACTTTCCTAATTATGTCGTTGATGAACAAGTTATACAAGCTAGCAGTAATATAAAGATAAATAAAAAATAAATACATCATCCGATAACTGTGAACATATTAAATTACTATACCAAAATCAAATGCATTTTAAGCATACGCAGAAGATAAAACTAATAAAAAGACTCATAGCCAAATGTATCCCCACTCATCTAAGTAAAAAGTGAGGTTGGTTGTATATTATACTAAATTTAATACAACCAATCTTGTTGTCAAATGCAATTCTTCTCCGTTAAGTAGCATCCTACAAAAGGCCAACATTGCATATCAATTTAGATCTCCTTTAGGAGATTGCATCTGTTTTAATAAATGTTAATACGTGTGTTGTTATTACAACGACGATGCTGTCGAGAAGACTTACATTTCACATAGATGAGCATAGTTCAATCTTATAGCATTTAAAGAAATATCCATGTCCACATTCACAGGTTAGAGAGATATTACCTGAAAATACATCTATATTATACAAAGAAAAATAATAAACAAAAAATTGAAATGTTAGAAGTCTTTTATATAAGAGAATTAAGACCAAAAATAATGTCAACTATGAGTATAACAATTAAATTTAGTCATTAAATGTTTTTTTTTTATATATATATATATATATATATATATATATATATATATAATATAATAAATTAAGAATTACAAAGTTGCCTCCCTTGTATGGAAAAGGTGTGAATTTGACATTAATATAGAACAATAAATAACGCAGTAAAACGAACAGTAAAAATATTTTGAATTTACAGATATACGTATATACATCCACAGACAATTTAATCCCTGAAGATGGTCTCAAATGAGACTGATAAATATATATATATATATATATATATATATATATATATATATATATATATATATATTTACAGAATTATTTTTCTCCTGATGATGGCCATGTTGGCCGAAACTAGTCAAGGAATCTTACTGAAATTATAATAAAAACGAAAGAATATTAAGATACAATCCAGTGTGTCTGAAGATTTTATTTTTTTAATATTTTTTATTGTTCAAAACATTAACATGTCATTAAGAAGTATTTTCTATTTTAATACTTTCAAATATATATCTTTTTTATCTATTATTCATTTTTATAGACTCATTTGTCTCTCTGGCCAAGGAAAAAAACATTATCAACAGGGTTTGAACTTTAAATTAAGTATAGTGAAATTCGTCCCTGATTTGCCGCCAGAAGGGAGTAAGAAAATATACTGCGATTTCGTCAGTTATTTTAAGGAACTGATTAGAAGACGTCATCATATATATATATATATATATATATATATATATATATATATATATATATATATATATATATATATGCATGTATGTATGTATGCCATTTCTTTTATTATTCAGAAGTAACACGTTTCCATGAAAAGAGCTTAGACAGGCTACAGTAGTTAGTTTCACCAGTTCTGAGTTTTCTTGTCTAAGATCCGTACATTGTAGCGACCAGCATCATTTTCTTTGTATTCCATTCATGTAGGTTGGTTATATACAACACTATTTTACGTAAAGTACTTGTGATTACGTTGGCTTTCTTATCCGCGGGTCGTCCTGCAATTAATTCATCATGGATGCTCAGAATCTACATTAATGGACACTGAAATGGATCAGCGGCTGTATCTTTTTTCTCGCACCAAGGAAAAGACACTATACTTTTTGTTTTGAAACTTTAAATTAAATTAAGTGAAATTCTTCCTAGATTTACCATCATGCGGCCAGTGATACTATATGCAATAATATTTCTGTTAATAAGTTAAAGCAAACCGCTCACTTTTCAGATAGAACCTGAAAACATGCAGATTTCAGGATAATTGATCGATTGTCAGGTCAGATCTCGCCTGCAATTGAGACCATGTAACTCAATCCAAACTGACTCATGTTTAGATGGTCGGCGACTAAACCGACTCCTCCATCTCACTTCCCTGTGGATGAGGAGGGTGCCAACAATTCAGGAAAAACAACAAACCTGTTAAAAGGTCGGGGAGCATTTCTAAAAACCAACAGTCACCTTGTTGGTTGGAAATGGCGTCTCAGTAAAAACAAAAAATTATACGACTTCAGCTTGTCATTTATTAAACAAGCTCCCGATTTTAGGGAATGGATCGACTCATGAATATATAAGATATATTGTCTTAACCGACAAAGGCTGGAGAAGTCATAAAAAAAAAAAAACAGTTTTTCTTTTACGTCCTCTGAATTGACTGGGGATTTCTTCATGGTATAAAACTTAATGTGAGGGGGATTTTTTGTGCCTCATAAGTTTCAGAATTGGATTGCACACACACACACAACCACATATATATATATATATATATATATATATATATATATATATATCACATTATGAAATGGACAAAGTCCGACAATTATTTTAAGACATTTTTATGCTTATACATTCTTTTTATAGATCCAAATATTTAAGTATATGCTCTGTTTATAATAAACAGTATTAAACAACATTTACCGGCCTGAATGTCCGAGAAATTTTCTTAGAAATTATTCGTCCTCCTAATTCAGGCCGGTAAATGTTGTTTAATACTGTTTATTATAAACAGAGCATATACTTAAATATTTGGATCTATAAAAAGAATGTATAAACATAAAATTGTCTTAATATATATATATATATATATATATATATATATATTGTTAGGTGTAAGCAAAACAGTGCTCAGTACAAAATTACAGATCTATTATGCATATATTGATAAATATATATAATTCCCCCATCGACAGTACGACTCGGAGTTTCATGTACCGGGCAATCGTCAGGTACACACACACACACACACACACGCACACACACACGCACACACACGCGCACACACACACACACATATATATATATAAATAGATAGATAGATAGATAGATAGATAGATAGATAGATAGACACAAACAGTATATAAGTCGATGTATTTTCCAAAATCGGTGTTGTCATATCTGTTCAATAAAATACTGATTTTGGAAATTCGTTTACGTCGAGAACTTTTCAGCACCCACTTTTACTTTCTGCCGTTGATTTAAAACACGCAGAAAATCCCCCCCACCGTATTCTCTAGTATCTTTATTTTTTCGGAGAAAATTCTTTTCCTTTGGAACACTACAAATTGAACGTGCTATTCAGGACTTGTTTTTATATTTTCACTCTCACAATGCTAGTTTGGCTAAACATTTATGAATCAAATCCTGTCGTGAACATGTAGCTTTTTTCTTTCAATAAACAAAATGAACAAGTCGCACTTTGACGGAAGGTGGAAATCTGGGTAATCAATCCATAAAAAAAGATTCGTTGAACTTTTTTAAGAGCAAATCTATGCTTCCTTTTTCGGAAGGAGGAACAATTACAAAGATGGCGTCTTTTACAAAATAACTTTCAGTGTCGTTCATCACAAATGAAACAATGTTTCATGGCGGACATAACCCAAATTTCTTTTTATCCTATTTCATTTATTATGTTCTTTTATTTTTTATTGCCAACAACTAAACGCAGGACAATCGTTTATTCAGGAAAAGGAAAAGTGAACGATCACAAAAAAATGACATCCAGAAATTGATGTAGCTTCATGGTTAGATCACGGACTCGAGGTAACAAGGTTTAATAATCCTAAGAAAATAGTTTTTATAAACTTGTGAATATAGACGAATATATTTATATATTATGTCAATCGAAATATGATGCAGCTCAGAATAAGCAGGCACTCATTAACCAATAGATCTATAAATATATACCTATGCACATGGATGCAGAAATAATAGCATATGTACACTTACGCGTCCAAAAAGATACGCGCACTTATACTGTTGGATTGGTTAGGGGCGCCTCGAGGCGGTGTAATGGTTAGCAAGCTTGACTTGTTAGAACAATTACAACTGAGTAGTGAGTTCGATTCTCGCTGGGTACCCCCTAATTTCGGCCTTGGAAAATCACTATACTGTTGGGTTGGTGCATAATTATCAGGCGTTTGTGTAGGCGGATTATTTTTTAATAAAAATTGCTGTTTTCTTTACGTTTTTAATAAAAATGTTATTTTATATTCAGGTTATAAATATGCGTGTCGATAATCATAGGCTCCGGAATAATCATTTAAAAATACTGTTGTCTGATAATTATGCACCAATTCAATAACGAAAGAAATTCATAAATTGGTTCATTTACTCCCAGTCACACTATTAAAAGCTGTAAAAGGAAGAAAAGATACAAGAAAACTGTTTCTAATAGGCAAAAACATATAAGGAAAGAAGGTTTAGAGAACATAACACGCATAGCACACAGCGACTCAAAGAAAAGAGCGAGTTATAAGTTTGAAGGATAGAGGAATAGGCTGCGCAAAACCAAAGTGTTGTCACGTCGAATCAATATTACTGAGAGTTGCAAGATAGGAAGCTAGGGAGGACCATGCCTGCCCACGTTCTGCTAAGGACGTAGCAGAATGAGAGAGAGAGAGAGAGAGAGAGAGAGAGAGAGAGAAATATATATTCATACATAGGAAATGAAGAGTGTCTATTTAGCATCAAAAAGTTAATTACAACCCTCCACAGACAGTAATTTTCTAAGCGAGGCTTAGATGTGGTACAAGGCTGAAAGTTTGGTGAGGATTGAACTCAATTTTCAGTCCTAATTCAGCTAGCGAGACAAGCTTGTTAGCCATTACACTATTTTGAAGAGCTTCAGTGATTTTCTAAGCATAGCTGTAATGTGGCACAAGATCGAAAATTTATGAGAACCCGGTGAAGATCGAAGTCACTGCTCAGTCGAAATTGTCCTAGCGTAACAAGCTTGCTAACCATTACACCACATCGAGACGCTAAAAATATTTCCTAACCGTAGTTTAGATGAGACAGAAAACCGAAAGTATAGGGTACCTAATGAGGATGAAACTCATTACAATTGATCAAGCGAGACAAGCTTGCTCAGCATTAAACAAAGCGAGGTGTCCTACCCTCTATAGTTATATACCTACTACACAAGAGCAATAATTATTTGTATCGCTAAACTATTGAAACCTGTCAGAATTTTTTTTAAAAGTACACCTCTTCTCTGAATATTTAAAGAAAGGGCTAAAAATATTCCATGTTTTAGTGTGAATTCATTTTTAATCTACGGCCAAAAGAGTTGATTAAAAACTTCTTAGCTAATAAAAAACTGTGTTTAAACCCTTTGAGACAATATTTAGCATTACTTTGGAGTATTTAAAAGGTGCTATTTATTTTTAACTATTTTTGACCATTGAGTTCAATTAAGTAATTACGTAGCAGTTTTTCTTCTGCTAAATATATCATTCGTAAATTTGCATACGGCGATGTAAAAAAAAAAACAAAAAACTAATCAGATGAAATTCGCCAACGATTACAGATGTACCCTGATTCTCAGTGCAGTTGAAGTCATTTGGCGCTGTACATCTTACCTGCAAGTGACACGCGACAACTCTCTATTTTTTACAGTAAGCTTCACCCTGTACAAGGCCCTTGTGGCTACAGGAGTTTGCGTCTAGAAGAAGTTTGTATGAATAAGGAAAGATGACGGTTAATCCTAAACTTGAACAAATTAAGATTGTAGTGATCGGGAAAAGATCCTCTTGGGAGTCAGTTCCACAGAGCAGCGGTTCGTGGGAAGAAGCTGCTGGATTGGAACTTACTTCTCACCGAAGTATACAGAGGGAACGTGGGTGATTTACTACAATAGAAGGAACCACAGAATGTAGTTCGTCTAAGCACTTTCATGGAAATAGTGGTAGAGCAGCGAGAAGCTTGTCACATCCCGCCTGGGAGAGAAAGGTTGGAGGGTAACAAATAATTCATCGCCCGGAAAGGATTTTGGAATGCTGAGACCTGAAAGTGAGGATGGGCAGCTCCCGCCCAAATATGACAACAGTACTCCATTCTACGCCTGATCTGGTTCTTAGATAGATAGATAGATAGATAGATAGATAGATAGATAGATAGATAGATAGATAGATAGATAGATAATGTGCAGCCTTCGATAAATGTATGTGTGTATGTATGTATGTATGTATAGATAGATAGATAATGTGCAGCCTTAGATAGATAGATAGATAGATAGATAGATAGATAGATCTGAACAGATTGTGATAGATAGATAGATAGATAGATAGATAGATAGATAGATAGATAATGTGCATTATTTGATATATAGATAGATAGATAGATAGATAGATAGATAGATAGATAGATAGATAGATAGATAGATCTGAACAGACTGTGATAGATAGATTGATTATATCATATCATAGATAATAATAATAATAATAATAATAATAATAATAATAATAATAATAATAATAGTCACTCGATATTAGCATATTTTCGTTTGCCAGACTTTCAAATTCCATTTTAGGAAAATAAACAATTAGCTTTACTGATAGAATGTACAAAATTGGAATGGCAACTGCAACCAATATTGTTTAACTCTGAGGTTCATCTAAAACGCAGAATTAAACAATATTTTAAATATTCCATTAATAAATTAATTTGTTTAAATTCGTAAATTTAAAAATATTACGTACTTTTAATCAATTCATAGTAAAACACATACTGTACGTGCATACATACTTAGATATATACACACACATATACATATATATATATATATATATATATATACATATATTTATATATTCTCTGTTATTCTCTAAATTCAATTCTAACTTATTACATAGAGTGTATGGAGGACAAGTGCGTAGAAATATCTATGATAATAATAAACATATATTTCTGTGGATGTGTTTGTTGTGCCTGAGCTTTTGTCACTATTTCCAGCTTTATCTCCCCACCCCGTCTTTTTACCTCTCTCTATATATTTCTCTCTCACTCTTTCTTTTCCTCTCCTTTCATCTCTCTATCGCGGCATTTATAACGTTTACTTCTTATTGCTGAAAATATGTGATTTCGAAGTGGGTCAGTGCGTTTACCTTTCACGCAGAACAAACAATGTAATTATGAAGTTTAATTCAATTAAAATATATGTGTAAAAATTAAAACGCCTTTTGCTTTTTTTTTTCATTTTTTGACATTGTTTTTCTTAATCATCTGTAATGTGCTGAAATATGATTTCATACAATTATCAATAATCGTGGCACTGAAATTATATTTCCGTTGTTGATTTAGAGTTGATCTGACTTGGATAACAGCTCAGCAGTTACAGAATTTATGTTTTAGGATTTATTTTATAAGGTTCATTAATCTGGGTCCCATAGGAACCCATGTGTTTATTGGGATTGTATCAAATGTCGTTGATTTAGATCTCGGCTGGGCATCAAGAAATATCCTACGAAGGGTCAACGGACTGGTTATAATAGTAAGGCCCACAAGCATATCTTACCTAGGAAATGGGGAGGCCATATCTTAAGGATATGTGGAAAATATTCGTCGAATTATAAATCTGTTCGATGAATTTGAAATTTAGCCATCCAGGTTTTTAATAAAATAAAAATGAAGAATTTGGGGTATTTTTTTTTTAAGCAATTCACACCAAGCAAAGCGGGAGTACTGTTGCGGGCAGCCCGAGCGGCCCCGTATCACACAAGGGTGAACGAGGTCACAAGAGGCCGGCTAACATTTTTGAAGGCGTTAAATCTGACGGTGAAACAATATAGACGACAGAACAAGGATATGTATGATAAATGCTAATTTATTCAGGGAAAGAAAGAGGAAATAAAGATGGTCGGAACGGTGGAGGTGCAGAAGTTTTAGTGCAGGCATTGATGGTCGAGGTTGGTGTTGGTAGTTGCCAGGATGATCGCTTGGTGGTTGTTGAAGTTGATGTTGGTTGTTGAAGTTGATGTTGGTAGTTGCCAGGATGATCGCTTGGTGGTTGTTGAAGTTGATGTTTGTTGTTGAAGTTGATGTTGGTTGTTGCCAGGATGGTCGCTTGGTGGTTGTTGAAGTTGATGTTGGTTGATGGCAGGATCATCGCTGTTGATTGTTGCAGTTAATGTTGGTAGGATCATCGCTGTTGATTGTTGCAGTTGATGTTGGTTGTTGGCACTTGCTGGTCGTTGAAGCTGATATGGGTTGTTGCCGGGATGCCAATTGTTGGTCGTTTCCGGGATGCCAACTTGACGTGTTGGGAAGGAAGGAAGAGCTGGCGTTGTTCGGGCATGTCACATGTCCAGTGCCGGCGTTGCGTGTTTGCCGATATTAATAACCTCCCGTATTAATTACTAACATAGTGTACGGGAAAGGTTAAGGACGACGTGCAGGCAGCCAGTAGGGACGGAATGCCGTTAGTCAAACAGGAACCATGAGTAGTAGGCGAAGTAGAGAGAGAAAGGAAAGTTCCCAACTATCGTCAAGTTGGCAGACAAAAAAAATGGGAGCGTAACTTAATACACAGCCCTTTGATCGACGTCCCTGGCCAACGAAGGCCGAGGGGCCTGCGTATCCGACTGTTTCACTCGCCGACCGCCTTCCTGGATTTAGTGAGAATCAGCTGTCTTGTGGTAAGGGAGGCCAGCAAGTGAAATTGGATAAGCTAACAGTAAAGTCTCTATAATAAAATACGGCGAGGTTAGCTTAAAGGGAACTATGGCCTAAAAATGTCTAGAAGTATATTATAAGGTTTGTAATATAACTTAACTAAAAAAGGGGACTTGCTAGTCTCTCCCACGGGTTAACAGTGTATAGGGAGCATGAATGAGAAGTCAAGGTCGAAATGACCCGTTCCTCTGCCGGTTCAAAATTCGAAGGAGGAGGTAACTCCGACAGTACGACTAGCACGCAAGGTGTTACAGAGGATTGATAACAGGTGTAAAGAGGCGTGTTTGAGGAAAGGATACACAGAAGGACGGAGAACAAGATCAAGTTATCAGAAGAATTCGTTTGACATTACATTTGAATATTTGAAGATTATAGTTATCAGGGAAGCATGTAATAGGAAGGGAGTTCCTCAGACAGGAAGTACGAGAGAAAAAGATGTTTGAGTAGAAGAGGGGGTTACATTTAACCATTTCGACAGTCAAAGCGTGGGATCGAGATGCCAGCCTAGTCGCTCGTTTAAATACATGCATTTTAGGAACCAGCGAAAGTAGCTCGTCGGAACAGTTGCCGTGAAAATACTTGTAGAAAAGACAGATGGAAGCCACGGCACGTCTGCGAGAAAAAGACTGTAGACGAGATGTCAGATCAGTACCTATCGAATTGCATATTCTTCTCTGGATTTTGTCGAGGACCTCGAGACATACAGCGGGGGCACCAGACCATATATGATAGCAATATTCCATGCAAGGATGGATGGTTGATTTATAGATTTGAAAAATGGACTCAGGGTATGCTTGTTAAATAAATCATTTGTATTTAAAAACACAGGTACATGAATTTAAATGAATCGAAACATTGGTAAAAATAGTCTTTAGTTGAGTTAAATCTTTGTCTATTAGTACACAAAAATATATATGCTTTACAAAAGATTCTTAGTTGGTCCACCGTAAAAAAAAAAAAAAAAAATGTGTCTGAGAAAAGATTTTTATTGTTATCGAAAATTCACTGAGGGGCTTTGTTGTTGTTGTTGTTGTTGTTGTTGTTGAAGATGATCCGTCCACGTCGCCGACACACGTTTCTTTCAGCACGTGCTGGGATAGAAAAAAGCCATCTAGCCACATCTTCTTTTCAGCTTGGAGACAACTGTATCTCTTCATGAAAGCCGAAATATGTGTATTTTTTATAAGATATTTTTCTCGAGGTAGGCACGAGAAAAATAGAATTTTAGTTTTTTTTTTTTCTGATTGGTCAAATATTTCTCATAGTGATGTTAATTTCTAAGCAATAGACAGATTGATTTAAACGATGTGTGTTGCACCGTGGGATCTTTCTGATATGTTTATAACATTGTCTTTTATTGGTTAGAAAATAGTTTGGGTGTGTTTTAATATGGAATGTTTCTTGGTTTGTAATTGTGTTGGAAAACGGATTTATTTCCAATAAAAATGTCATCGTTTTAAGTTGAGTCATAAATTATTTTCGCTTTGTTTATCAGTTTTATTCTTCCAAGAATAAATTATATTTTATACAATTATATATTCGTCATCACCGCAAATTACTACAAAACGAATACATTAACCTAAAACCTCTGGCCATGTTCTTAAATAGACACGTCAGATCAAGACTTTCATATGAATGACGCGTGTGGTGCCAATCTCACTCAGAAATATTTAACCTTTCTCGGATCAATAGAGAAAAGGGTCGTCAACCCAATGAAACCTTTAGGTATTATCAAGACCGTATTTCAACGTCATGGACTGGCGATACAGTATCGCAAAAAAAAAAAGAACTGTACCAAATAACAGAAATGATATCACTTGATGACTTTTAACCACAGAAGCAATTTAGATGGATACCCCTTGTAAATCGAAAAGACAATAATGACATAATTAAGTTTTGATATTCCACATTACGTCAAACAAAAGGTTAGGAAGGAAACCCTTGTCAATACTGTAAAGAGCGATAACAGCTACTGAACTAGAGAAACCCATTTTCCTGAAAAATTGTTTTAAAAGAAAGTCTATATAAATTTCAAGCAAATGTGGTACTGTCTGCTTAGGCAATGAATGCCAAATGTTTCCTTATAAGGAAACGGTTAATATTACTTTTACTACTGCTATTATTTGCAATAGCGTCTTGCCAATTATAAGCTAACTGAAAAGTAAGAAATTACATATGACTCAAACTTTTGATCAAAATTACGCAGATTTTGATGTGAAAAAAATTACGACGAACTCTCGAATGTGGTTTTCGTCAGAAAAAAAGATTTCCACACAACCTTAAAGAGGAGGTTAGGAAGGAAACCACGATTAATGCTGGCAAGAGCGATACAATGTCAACCGTTCTGTTCGGTGTCCTTAAATTCTCTTCTGTTATTCTTCTCGCTCCTTAATGTTTTTCTTCTATTCTTTCACACGTAATATAACTCTGCGTGGTAGTGGCCCTGTTGCCTTACTTGGGGTGACATGATTTTAAAAAATAACAATGGAACTGATAAACTTAGTTTCGTTGAAAGAGAAAGATTTTGTAAATTTCAACTGAAAGCAGCACTGGCTGTTCGGTCAATGAATTCAAAATTTCTACTTGTAAGGAAATGTTAATATCACCATTGGCATCTATCTCTCTATCTATCTATCTATCTATCTCTCTCTCTCTCTCTATATATATATATATATATATATATATATATATATATATATCCACTATCCATTTCAGTCTGTTTATACATATTTCAGTTTGTTAATATCTATCTATCTATCTATCTATCTATCTATCTATCTATCTATCTATCTATCTATCTATCTATCTATCCCATTCTAGCCATTATCTATCTATCTATCTATCTATATATATATATATATATATATATATATATATATATATATATATATATATATATATATATATATATATATATATATATATATATATATATCTTAATATTCCACACCAGTTCAAATAAAAAGTTTAGGAAGGATACTCGCCCTCCCCCATCAATACTGAAAAGAGCAGTAACATCGACTGAACTTGAGAAATCTGTTTTCCTAAAAGTGTTTTAAGAGAATGATTTTATAAATTGCAATCGAAAACAATACTGGCTGCTCGGTCAGTGAATGCCAAATATTTTCTTGTAGAGAAACGACTAATATCTCCATTACAATTACTATGTATTTAATCTCAGTCTCTTCATATCTATCAATCTGTTACCATTACGCACCAGTTCAAATAAAAGGTTAGCGAGGATCCCAATCCCATCAATACTGTAAAAAAAAAGACGTTAACGGCTACTGGACTTGAGAAACCTATTTTCCTGAACAATTGTTTGAAAAGAAAGATTTTATAAATTTCAACCGACAGTGGTACTGGCTACTCGGTCAATAAATACCAAATATTTCCTTATACGGAAATGGATAATCTTACTATTACCATGAAAGCGTTTTGCAATCTTTGCAAAATGTAATAATCTATTGGTGCCAGGTATAATGGATATGGCGGATGGGTTCTTAGAATAGACAAACCAATTTGCAAATTTCTTCCCCTGTGTAGTTCTTGTATGCGTCGTTGCGTTGTCATAGACGATATCCTTTTTTTTTATTTTGACAAATGTGTACGCTGCAACTGCCGTGCGAAATCTCAGATATGTTAGTGTTGTCCAAATTTATTCTTAACTGCTACACAGGATTAATAATTAGGATGATACATTCATTACAATTGGTTGCTCAGAACGGAAATTACTTATGACTAAACCTAACCTTTTCACGATTCATTTACCAACACTGGAGGTAGAAATATTTTCTGATTTTCACTTTGATTATATCACGAATCATTACATCTTGAATCATCGATCAATAGATGCCGGTCGA